AATTTTCAAGTCTACTTTTTAAGCTTTTTTTTTAAGATATGTGATGGTAGAATGACATTCCAGTCATATTCAGAGAATGAAGCAAAATGCATAATATTTATTGAAAAACGAAAATTTAACACAGTAGTGAAAGACAATTCAAGCATGCAACTAGCTGCCAATACTAGAACGCTCCGTTCTCAGACTTTGCTTCAGGAACCGATCAGTACTGAGCAAATTCATCTTTCCTGATGATTAGAAATGAAACACTTAATCAGCAGTCTATTCTCATAAACAACTCTTCCTAATAATTAAATATAATGTTCGTTCGTATCACGTTTTAACTTCCCTTCTTTCCTTCCTCTCTCACTTTATTTGCTCCTTCACTTATATCTATTTCTTCCTCTTATCCGTCTGGCAAATCGGTTACATGACTATTCAAAACGTAGCGGGTAGGAGGCTGTGCCGATGATTCCTACTCCTATCCGCATGCATAGTTCGGTCCGTGTACACAACTTAGGGATGAAACACAGACTGCGTCAAAAAATGTCTTCATACACATGACACTCAAGTAAAATCCTTCTGTTCCTCTATTTTCTACACCTTTCCCTATGCTACAGTGTTTTGCGTCTTTCCAACAGAATTTCCGTTAGCAGTGGCGGTGGGTATTCGCAGCGCAGCGGTCGACGTTCAACTGTCGTAGCAAAAGACCATGAACCAATACTTTCCAGCTCATCTCGGCAAGCTTCAACATCGATTCGTACTCGTTTTGTGCTGGATACCTTCTGCGCAAGCAAATCAGAAGGTACGGATATTAACCTAAAATAATCAAAACCTTTTATCATTCAGTATGCAAAAAGTGAACCATTTGCTTGTGGTAATGAAAGAATCAACTCTGCACCTAATTTGTTGCAAAAGGAAGAAGCAGCGAGTAACAAGGAAGCGAAGTTAGAGGCGAAATCCCCTTTGCCTTGTCCAGTTGCCCTTCGGTTTCCTGTAACACGCAAATGTCCTGTCTCTTGGCTCGAGTTCCCCCCTCAGTGATATTTAATGTGATGATTGGAAATGAAACTGTAATTGCGATTGTTCTGTGTAATCTGCAGGTGCGCGGCGGCAGCTTGGAGTT